TTTTTTTTTTTTTTTTTTTTTTTTTTTTTTTTTTTTTTTTTTTTTTTTTTTTTTTTTTTTTTTTTTTTTTTGAGTTCTCATCCTTATATTAGCTTGTTTGGATTATACACAAATGGTTCGCTGTATAACCAGTGGTAAGTAAAGTGAAATTACATCAACCAGTTATTTTGACCCAATTGTAGAAAATCAAAATCGACTTGTTTATAGTAATTATATTAATAGACACAACTTGTCTTACAATTCATAAGAGTTCGACTATAGGTATATAATCAAATGACCTATAGTTAATGAATGAAAATTGATTAGTTTAAATCATCCATGAAAATTATAAAGCGGATCATATCAATACTATTACCAAAATAAGACACCCAATGGTATCCATATGCTATATATCTTTTAGGCCATTACTTGAACATGATCTCTTGTATGTCAACGGTATATTATTCAATATTATAACTTTGGGTTGTTCTTACCATTGGTAAGATTAGTAAATAAAATAATCAAAATTATTATTTAAAAATTAAATACTTAATTACGAAACTTTAGAGTATAAATCTCAACACCACAGGTATGGTTATTCATCTAACCTAGCTTGAAGGCATTTCAACGATAAGATCGCTTGCCTCGTTTCCCTGAACTGAAATCACTAAACATGTGAGCGGAGAAATTAAGAGTGAAAAATACGTGAATAATTAAGAAATTTAATATGGGGCTAAGATGGAATTAAGAGATTTGAGAAACGCAAAAGAATGTCGGCGATCTTTAATTCAACAAAATACAAACAAAGTGGAGAATTAGAATCTATAATATCTTGGTCGAGACTACATGTTTTAACCCGTTAAACTATGATTAAGTTGGAGTGTTTTTTGTACTCATAAAAGTTAGGAAACCAATGTCACTTACAAGCACGATGGTTTACACGAGAGGCGAAAGAAAAATCTGTACTTTCATTATCATCATTCCCTTTGAATTTTAAACCGCCATGGCTGAAATCTATCGGTTTATTGAACAAGTTGAATTCTGCTCTTTGGCTACGACATTTATTTTCGAGTCAATTCTGAAGTGTACTATTAAGGCAACCAATGTTGAAAATGCCTTATCTGTGTCATAAGGTTGCACCATAAAGTTTGCAGTTGCTATTGAACAATTTATTTTGCATTTTCTATCATGAAACGTCTCCTCCTATAGCACCTTGACCTGTAAATAACCAGCATTGTTCACGTAAGTCATGGAAACTACAGATATCCTCAGAGAATACGTGTAACAATCCTAATTTCAAGAGGGAAATAGAACCGCTACTATATGCATGACGTAATCTTTTTATGCGAAAACATTCGGCCACTACCATATGCATAACGATCCTAATGAATATTTCCGCATAAAGAAGTTATGTCATGCATGTGGTAGTGACTCTAGGTGCATGTGTCTTTTGTTCTTCTTCTCTCTTGCAACACTGAACTCGTTTCTTTGGTCTTCTTTCTATCTCTTCTCAAAGAACTATATTTTCATCGTGAAATCAAATATATTTATAAGTTGGAGTGTAACGGCCCAGGTCGATTGGAGGAAGGAAAGAGTGCCCAGTGAGGATGCTGGGCCCCGAAAGGGGGTAGAATGTGATGTCCCACATTAGTTGGGGAGGAGAACAAACCACCATTTATAAGGGTGTGGAAACCTTCCCCTAGCAGCCTTGAGGGGAAGCCCCAAAGGGAAAGCCCAAAGAGGACAATATCTGCTAGCGGTGGATCTGGGTCGTTACATGAAGAGTTCTATGCCTAAATTTACAAAAAAATCTAGCATTTCAGGACTGGCAAAATATTGATACAACATATAAGCCTCAACACCTAATAATCAAGATTTTAACAAGCGTTACGGCACTTGCTGAGAATGTAAGATAAGAGTAGGAAAGAATTATCATTAGAACCATCTTTTGCATTCAGAACCTAAAAATTAAAGGAACAACAATTGTTAGTGTATTGTTTTTCTTTTACTTGTTATTGCAAGTCTTACAATGATTGAGAACATAAGCTTAGGGATTGAAGCATCAAAAGTAGCTACATATATATATATATATATATATATATATATATATATATATATATATATATAGCTACTTTTAAGGCTTCTTTGTTTTCAGTACAGTGTTGAATTGTTTTGTTTGCTATACCAAGATGGTATGGTTTAATATTTCAAATGCCAAATTTCTAGTGAATGAATGAAAAAAGAAAGAAAGATAAAAGAGAGAAATCAATGTTGAGGATCGTTGGGAGGGAGACCCATGTTGGCTAATTAAGGGGAAGATAATTGGTTTATAAGTAAGGAATACTATCTTTATTAGTACGAGGCCTTTTGGGGAAACCAAAAGCAAAATCATGAGAACTTATGCTTAAAGTGGACAATATCATACGATTGTGGAGGTCCATAGTTCCTAACATGGTATTCGAGTCATGCCCTTAACTTAGTCATGTCTGGAGAATCCTCAAATGTCAAACAAAGAAGTTGTGAGCCTCGAGTATGTAGTCAAAAGTGACTCAAATGTCGAACAATGGGTGTACTTTGTTCGAAGGCTTCAGAGAAGGAGTCGTGCCTCGATTAAGGGGAGGTTGTTCGAGGGCTACATAGGCCAGGCTCTATGGTGTATTTTGTTCGAGGGGAGGATTGTTGAGGATTGATGGGAGGGAGTCCCACGTTAGCTAATTAAACAGAAGATCATGAGTTTATAAGGAAGGAATAGTATTTCCATTGGTACGAGACCTTTTGGGGAAACCAAAAGCAAAGACATGAGAGCTTATGCTCAAAGTGGATAATATCGTACCATTGTGAAAGTCCATGATTCCTAACAATCAATTGAACAATCCAATAATCCTTGCGTTCCGAAAGAAATTCAAACACGTAAAAAAAATCAATATCCTCAGTAATTGGTGTGCAAGAAAGATGATAGGAAATACAAAATTAGCAAGTTTTAGAAACTATATGACATGTCCTAGACGGCAATATGATTCATACAATAATCTAGGTAGTCCACATTTTCAAATATTATCATTTGAAAATACTCAATATGAAAATCATATATCTTATACTAAGAGCTCAAGTTCAAGAAGTATGGAGGTTGAGTAGTGTGAATTTATGACACTAACCTTGAGCCTTAGAAGAAAAACCACAAGTAGTCAAATGCTTTGCAAGTGCCTCCCCCAGCTCCTCCCGCCAGTTGGGTGTGATTTTTGCTTCAGCTACAAGCCACACGAATGCTGTCTCTGAAGCAAGGTCAACAGTAGCATGCGATACTGGCGGCTGTCCATGATAACAAATGATCAATATTAATCGGGAAAGAAATGAAATTTTCAGTGGTATGTCTAGCTTTAATATCATACTAAAGCGTGTAAAACTCCAATGTTGTTACGAACTACGACCCTCCACAATGGTATGATATTGTCCACTTTGAGCATAAACTCTTATGGCTTTGTTGTTGGTTTCCCCAAAAGGCCTCGTACCAATGGAGATAGTGTTCCTTACTTATAAACTCATGATCACCCAGCCGATGCGGGACTCCTCTCCCAACAATTCTCAACAATTGTTGAGGATTATTGAAAAGAGTAGTCCCCACATTGACTAATTAAGAGGAAGATCATGGGTTTATAAGGAACACTATCTCCATTGGTATGAGGCCTTTTGTGGAAACCAAAAGCAAAACCATGAGAGCTTTGCTCAAAGTTGACAATATCATACCATTGTGGAGGTTTGTGATTCCTAATATGGTATTAGAGTCATGTTACAAATGGTACCCTATTGAGCTCATACAATTACAACTTGATTCCGTAGTTTCTAACATGGTATCAGAGTTATGCCCTTAACTTAGTCAGGTCAATAGAATCCTCAAATTTTGAACAAAGAAGTGGTGAGCCTCGGAGGTGTAATCAAAAGTGACTCAAGTGTCAAACAAATGGTGTACTTAGTTCGAGGGCTCTAGAGAAAGTAGTCAATCCTCGATTAAGGGGAGGCTGTTCGAGGGCTCCATAGGCCTCAAAGGAGACTCTATGGTGTACTTTTCTCGAAGGGAGGATTGTTGGGAGGGAGTCCCACATTAGCTAATTAAGAGTACATCTCCATTGGCACGAGAGCTTTCGGAGAAACCAAAAGCAAACCGATGAGAGCTTATACTCAAAGTGGACAATATCATACCATTGTGGAGGTTCATGATTCCCCGTAGATTATGCCTAAATTCAATTACTCTGTTAGATTATACAAGTCCAACTAGAAATCTGAAACAATTC